GAAATTTTTGCAAGGTTCACCGGAAACGAAGGACGTGCGAAATCTATAACGAAGTGACAGACCAGTGTTATCATTCGGCTGTCGAATTCGCGCTCGATATCCGCCGGAAGTAATTGGATTTTGGCTGCTACTGCTGCTGCCACTACCCTCTCATATCTTCCAGTACCAACCAACATTTACGAGTCGTTTATTTTTAAATTAAATCTCTTTTCCACAATGGATGCAATTTTCAATTTTTTTTTTCCCCGCGTCAATTCTTCATCGTTCGGGCTATTTATTTTTTATTCGTGATTCTACTTTTTTTTGAGATTATATTTTCGGTGAAAATTTGTTTGTTATTTGATTTTCTTTTTGTAGGATTGTACTTTGGTTGGGTGTGGGTAGTATTTACTAATATTGAATATTCATATTTATAATGCAGTGCAAGGGAAATTTATTTTATTCAAATTATCGACTACTTGTCTACTATCAAATAAATATTTAATTGAATCCAATAAGTTTTTATTTTAAACAATAATTTCAATATTTGAATCAATAATTTCAGTATTTAAATAATTATAATTTTGGATTTGTAAGAATCCAAAATGAAATGAATTTTATTAATGAATTTTATTTCTAATAAAAATAAATCAGGATTGCCACAGGTCAGGGAATTCAGGGAAAAGTCAGGAAAAGTAGAATTGGTCAGGGAAATCAGGGGAAATTTAGGGATTTTTAGTAAAAGTACTGGAAAAAATTCAATTTTTAAAATTCAGAAGAAAAGTATGAATTTAGATGTTTTTTTGTTTGATAATAATTTCTTTCTAAATAACTTAATTCTTGAAGACCTAAAAACCATAAATATCATTAAACTATTAATCATAAATTATTTAATTAATAATTTTACTTCAATATTTCGAAATTAATGGAATTTTAAAAGAGTTTACAATTTTCATAAATAGTTCAACTTTCAATAGGTTCTAATTTTAAATTTTACAAAATTTCAATTTTGAATGACTTTAATTAGAAATTTTAATGATCTAAAAATTTAAAAAAATTTAACAATTCAAACCCTTTTGAAATTAGTTACATTTTTAAATATATATTTAATTAATTTATTAAAAATAATAGATTTATAGAAGAATTTTAGTTAACGATAGAAAAAATTGAATTTTGAAAAAGTTTTAAATGATTGCAGAAATTCAATTATTTTGAAAAAGTAATAAAATTTTCCAAAAGAATTCAATTGTTTAAAAAAAATCTTAATAAAATTCTACGCAAACATTTAATTATTTTCATAAATAATTTATTATTAAATTTTACAGAAATTCAATTATATTTACAATTTTTTTTAGAAATTTCTTCTCAATAATTCAATTATTTTCATAAAAAAAAGTTTTTACATGGATTCAATTATTTTCGTAAATAATAAAGCTCAACGCAGAATTTCAATTATTTTTAATACAATTTTAATTCCAATTCTATTGAAATTAGTTGAATTTTTTAATTTGTGATTAATATTATTTCCAAAATTTTAACGCAATTCTTAGAAAGAAATCAATTATCTTGATAAATATCAAAATTTTTTCTAAAAATCCAATTGCTTTCAAGAATTTTAATAAAATTCTTTGCAAAATTCAATTATTTTCAAGAGTAATAAAATTCTTTTCAGAAATTAAATTATTTTCAAAAATAAAAAAAAAAATTCCACTAGTCAGGGAAATTAGGCAATTCAGGGAAAGGTCAGGGATTTTTATTGAAGTACTGGAAAAAATTGAATTTTTGAGATTTTACAAATAATTGCAGAAAATCAATTATTTTTAAAAGTAATAAAATTCTTCGCAAGAAATTCAATTATGTCCAAAAATTTTTTTAAATTATTGTCAAAATTTCAATTATTTTTAAAAATAATAAAATTCTTCTTCAAAATGCAATTATTTTCAAACATTTTAATAAAATTCTTGGCCAAATTTCAATAATTTTCAATAATTTTCCTTAATTCAATGATTTTCAATATCTACTACAAACATTAAATTATTTTCATAAATAATAAAAATTTCACATAAATTCAACTATTTACCAATTTTTTTTATAAATTCCTTCGCAATAATTCAACTATTTTTATAATAATACTAAAAATGTTTTTAGGAACTCAATTATTTTTATAAAGAATAAAACTCATCGCAGGATATTAATTATTTTTGATAGAATTTTAATCGAATTCCTCGATAAATGTAATTATTTAGAGTCATTCCATTATATTTCGACTAAAGTCGTTGCCGACTAATTTTAAAAAATTGTAATATTTTGCAGGAATGATTTTAAAGATATTAGGATCACCGAACAAAAAGAATTTTTTAAATATTTTTTATATTTATTGTAAAATAAGCATCTAAAGTATATGAAGTCGTAAAAACTGACACTTTTTCATCTAATAGAAAATATTAAAGAAAACACATAATTTACTATAAAAACGTAAAAAAATTATTAGAATTTATTAAGAATGAATTATTTTATTATTATAAATTGATAGAAACAATTATTAATAAGAAATATTAAATAAAAAATAATTTTAAAGTTTACATGGAAAATAACCTATTTTTGCAAATTTCATTCACTAAATATGAGAAAGAGAAATCATTAAATTGGATAAAACCTTATGAAATATAAAGTACCTGTGATTAACTTTTAGTTTTTCTTATCACTTTCTTCCTGTTTTCTTCACAAATATTAAAAATAAGCAATTAAAACTGGCACTTTGCTTATTTTCACGATTTTAAAATGCAAATAACTTCTGCCCAGAAAAATGAAAAATTACGAAAATTGGGCAATAATTATTTGATCACTAGATACACTTACTGGAAAAAGATTTTCTTTGGTCCCGAAGCTATTTCTCGAATTAATTAACTTTAAACTTTTTACTATTTTTATCAGGTTAATACATGTGTTTTTTAAAGGACGAAGTTAGCTCTTCTTGTTTAATCGTTTTGAACCAACTTCAGTTTTAAAGAAATCACATGTATTAACCTGATAAAAATAGTAAAAAGTTTAAAGTTAATTAATTCGAGAAATAGCTTCGGGACCAAAGAAAATCTTTTTCCAGTAAGTGTATCTAGTGATCAAATAATTATTGCCCAATTTTCGTAATTTTTCATTTTTCTGGGCAGAAGTTATTTGCATTTTAAAATCGTGAAAATAAGCAAAGTGCCAGTTTTAATTGCTTATTTTTTAATATTTGTGAAGAAAACAGGAAGAAAGTGATAAGAAAAACTAAAAGTTAATCACAGGTACTTTATATTTCATAAGGTTTTATCCAATTTAATGATTTCTCTTTCTCATATTTAGTGAATGAAATTTGCAAAAATAGGTTATTTTCCATGTAAACTTTAAAATTATTTTTTATTTAATATTTCTTATTAATAATTGTTTCTATCAATTTATAATAATAAAATAATTCATTCTTAATAAATTCTAATAATTTTTTTACGTTTTTATAGTAAATTATGTGTTTTCTTTAATATTTTCTATTAGATGAAAAAGTGTCAGTTTTTACGACTTCATATACTTTAGATGCTTATTTTACAATAAATATAAAAAATATTTAAAAAATTCTTTTTGTTCGGTGATCCTAATATCTTTAAAATCATTCCTGCAAAATATTACAATTTTTTAAAATTAGTCGGCAACGACTTTAGTCGAAATATAATGGAATGACTCTTAAAAAAATTTTATTAATATTCGTCAAAAGAATTCAATTATTTAAAAATTTGTTTATAAAATTCTTTACGAGAATTTAATTTTAAGAAACATTCAATTATTCAATAAAATATTTTCTTTTGTTCTTAAATAATTGAATTCTAGTAAAATTTTCTAATAAAAATTAATTTAAAAATGAATTTCAGTTAAAATTTTAGATTATTATAAATGAATATTAAAAGCATTGTAAAGTGAATTTTAAGAAATAATTTAATTTTGAAAAGGTTTCAAATTAAAATTTTTGAAAATCTGAATTTACCTCTATCATACTTTTCACTATGAATTTTGTAGAATTAATTTTTTTTGAAATTATTGGGAGTTTTCATTTTTTTTTAAATATATTTAATTGAAGAATTTCCGAATTATCGATTTATTTAATTTATGAAAATAATTGAATTCTTGCAACGAATTTTATTTAATTTTTTTTTTAAATAATTGAATTGAATTTTAACAAAAATTCAATTATTCAATAAATTATTTATTTTTGAATTTAAATAATTGAATTTTCGTAGAATTTTCTAATAAAAATTGATTTAAAAATGAAGTTTCGAATAATCGATTTATTATTTATTAAAATAATTGAATTCTTACAACGAATTTTATTTACATTTTTTTGAAAATTTATTTAATTCTTTTGAGAAATTTTACTACTTGTAAAAGTATTTGAATTCTTGCGAAAGATTTTATTAGAATTTTTGTAAATAATTGAATTTTTTTTTATTGAATTTTTTATTTTTTAATTAAAAAAAAGGTAATTTAATTTATTATAAAACATGAAGAAGTCGATCTCTCCGAGTCGAAGACACGGAGTTATCGATTTCTTAATGTTTTATACAAATATTTTTTTATGTTTTTAAATTTCAAAAAGGTTCGAATTTGAATGTTTTGAAAAATTTGAATTCCTACGGAAAAATAATAATGATTTTTAAATATTTATTTAAAAATGATGTTATTGATGTTTTCGAATAATTTTTTACAATTAAAGAAATTTGTAAATAAATGTTACAGAAAATTTTCCTGAGTATCTAATAATTTTTAAGAGTGAATCAGAATATTCTTTATGATCAAGGAAAAAGTGAAAATTTTGTCTAGAAATCAGGGAAAAGTTAGGGAAAAAGAAAATAAAATTTCTGCGGCCATCCTGTAAATGATATGGAATATTTATATTTATATTGTATGAAATGAATGTGGATAATGAGTGAGTGGAGAAAAGGGTACGGAGGATTGTTTTTCTGTAACGAAAGTGTTGTTGTTTATATACTTACAGAGGTATCGGTTTTTCTTTATCTGCACTAATTACGGGAGGGTCTGGCGTTGCGAGAGCAGCTTCGAGAGCAGCTGTTTCCTCTTCCTCGCGAAGTTCCTCTGATGCTTCTTCCGGTATAGTCGATATGTCCTCCATTAGCGGTAGATCGATTCTGTTGTCCTCTATATGATTCCCCAGAATCGAATTCCCATTGTCCGGTCGTACCACTTCTTCGATGTCCGAGTCAATGCCCTATTTATGTCGACACTTTTAATTAAAATATTCAATACTCGATTGCTCTAATATTATAACTGTTGCAGTATTTATTCTGAAGTGAAAAATTCATTTTTCAATAATATATTTAAAGTTATCTTTTATTTATAAAATGAAAAAATTTGCTAAAGCGAAGAGATATATTGATTCGTATTAACACGATTTCTGAATTGTTATTTATTTATTCATGGGGAGTTAAATTTATGAGTAAAAAATAAAAAAAATACACCTAGGAAAATGGTATACTTGACTCAGAACATCCTAAAGTTTTTATTTGCTTCGAATAAATTTTATTTGGTTCAAATAAATTTTATTTGCTTCGAATAAATTTTATTTGGTTCAAATAAATTTTAGTTGGTTCAAATAAATTTTACTTGGTTCAAATACACTTTATTTGGTGCAAATAAATTTTACTTGGTTTAAATACATTTTATTTGGTTCAAATAAATTTTAGTTGGTTCAAATAAATTTTAGTTGGTTCAAAAAAATTTGAATTGCTTAAAAAAAATTGTATTCAGTTCATTTAAAAGTAGAATAATATTTTAACAATTTGGTGGAAACTGTTTTTTTTTTGAAAAATGATAAATTACATTTTTTATTGTTCTATTTTACATATTTTCATTCCGTATGATAGAAATGTTTGTGAGTTTGAAAGATGTTTGGTTAACAATATACAAGTTTATAGTCAGATAAGTTGTACTATTTCTGTCTTTCAGAACTTTGAAGGTATAGAAAAGAAACTTTGAAGAAAGGAAAGAGTTGCTTTTTCTCTGGATCAGTGAACTGCATTGTGATAAAGAAAGCTGAGTTAAAAATGCTTTTTGCGAAAAAGGTGAATGAAAATACGCCTGTCATAGTGCCTCAGGGGGAAAGAACATTAAGGGTTAGCTTAAGGTTAATTTAGGTCAAGAGGAAAAATATTTCTCCTTCTATTAAAAATTTTAGCTTCTGTATTCGGTACTTATTCAGTATTATTCCGTTCTTATTCTTATTTAATATTTATTCATAGTATTATTCGATGAAATTAAAATTCTTTTGAAATTAGTTACACTTTTTAATATACATTTAATTAGTTACAAAAAATAATGTAAAAAAAAATAAAAAATCAATGTTAAAAATTAGTGGAAGAATTTTAGTTACAAACACTAAAAAAATAAAATTTTGGAGAAGTTACAAATGATTTTAAATAAAACTATTTTGACGTTTTACGGTTTTTTTCCTTTGGTATCGTGTTCGGTATTTATTCGATATTCTTCGGTATTCATTTTCTTTGGTATTTTATTTAATCTTCGATATTTACTCTTTGGTATTTTATTATTGTCTATAGTTTTCGAAATTTTATCTTCGTTTTTAGTATTTTATTGTTTGAGAGGTTTTTTTTCTCTCTACTACTGCTAAAGTGTATTAGAACTATATATATATATATATATATATATATATATATATATATATATATATATATATATATATATATATATATATATGTATACAATATTGTACTCTCAATATTATACCTGTGCAAAATCCATGTAGAAGGAATCCCTGGAGTCGGAGCTGCCTCTACGTAGCCTGAGGCTGAGATCCGGCGAACTCTCACCCATCTTTCTTATCTCACTCTCTTTCTCGACTCGACCCGACGCTTCGACCCTTTGTCTTTCACGAACTCCTTTCCTCCGCGAATGGGGAATTTTCTAAAGAGGGTGTCCCTGCTGCATACACGTTGGATGGACTTGCATCAGGGTGCTTTAGGGAATTGCCCTTAAATGACAAATCGTTTCGTGCTTTAGCATACAAAAAAAAGGGATAAATATTTTTCTTCTTTAAAAAAATACAATGTTCATGCTTTTTTTTGTAGATAATTTTTCAATTTATTGAATTTTTATATTTAGGGAGCTTTTCTAAAATTTTATAGGATTCGCACTTATGTACTAAAATCTATTTACACTAAAAACTATTTACACGCTTCGCACTTATCTATACTAAAACCTACTATTTAAAATTTTTTTAACATTATGCTACTATTTTGGTCCTTTTTTAGATTTCAGCCACTAAAAGCTACTATTTCAATTTTTTTGTTGTTGAAAATTTCCACAACTTTAAATTTGTTAATACTAGAAATTAAGAGAAAATTCTCAACAATTATAATCAAATTCTTTAAAAAGATTCAATTATTTTCAAAAAATAGTCGAAATTCAATAATTTTCATAAAATTTCGCAAAACAGTTCAATTATTTAAAAAAAAATTAATAAAATTCATCCAAAAATTAATTATTTTCATAAATAATAAAATTCTCACGGGAATTCAATTAATTTAAAATAGAATTTTCAAAAAAATTTTAAAAAAATGAACTATTTAACCAAATTTTTTAAACAATTCTTTGCAATAATTTAATTACTTTCACAAATAATAAAATTTTTCATAGAAATTCAATTATTTAAAAAAAATTTAGATAAAATTCTAAGCAAGAATTTAATTATTTTCCTAAATAACAAAATGAAAAAATCAATTATTGAATAAAATAACATTTTTCATAAAAATTCAATTATTTAAAAAAATGTTTCATAAAAGTTTAAACAAGAATTCAATTATTTTCATAAATAATAAAACTCATCGAAGAATTTCAATTATTTTCATAAATAAAATTTCCCACAAGAATTCAATTAAATATTTAAAATAAAATTTTCATAATATTTATTATATTTCTTATACTTCTTTAGAAAAATTAAATTATTTTCAATATAATCTCAATAGAATTCCTCGAAAAATATAATTTTCAATTTTCGAAAATTTTAATTGAATTCTGTGAAATAATTCAATTATTTTCAATTATTTTCATAAATTTTTTGCCGAAAATTCCATTATTTTCAAAAGTTTTAATAAATTTTTTCCGCAAAAATTCAATTATTTTTATTCGTAATAAAATTCTTAACAGGAAATTAAGTTATTGTTAAAACAATTTTAATAAAATTTCATAAGAGAATTCAACTAGAAATATTTAATAATTCTTTAAAATGTGGTTAAAATTCTTCGAAAGAATTCAATTATTTAAAAATTTGTTGATAAAATTCTTTGTGTGAATATAATTTTAAGAAATTTTCAATTAATTAATTATTTAAAACAATGTTTATAAAATTCTTATAAAGAATTTAATTATTATCAAAAATAACAAAATTTTCCACAGAAATTTAATTTTTTTAAAACATTTTAGTCCAATTTTTCGCAATAATTACTTTCATTAATAATAAAATTCTGACCAGGAATTCAATTATTTTTGAAAATTTTAATAAAATTTTTTTTAGGAATTCAATTATTTTCGTAAATAATAAAATTCATCGCAGGATTTCAATTATTTTTAAAAAAATTTTACAGGAATTGCTCGAAAAATGTACCTAATTATTCTTAAAAATATAATTTTAATTCCTCGAAAAAATCAATTATTAAAAAAAAATGTTTTCCTGAAATTCTTTGGAAGAATTCAATTATTTACAAAACTATTAAAATTTTTCACAGAAATTCAATTATTTTTTAACTATTTTAATAAAATTATTTAAATGAAATCAATTATTTCAATTACAATTTTAATTTAATTTATTTGAAATAATTCAATTACTTTTTTTAGATTTTAATAAAATTCTTTCTAAGAATTCAATTATTAACATAAATAATTCTTCGAAAGAATTCAATACGTAATTAAATTTTATTAAAATGTTTCAAAATTGTTCTCGAAAATTCAATTATTTTGAAACATTTCAATAAAATTCTTTGCAAAATTTAATTATTTAAAAAGTAAACAATATTCATCACAAGAATTCATTTATTTTTAAAAGTAATAAATTTCTTCTTGTAAATTAAATTATTTAAAAAAATTCTAAGAAAATCAGTCAGTTACTAATTCAAATTAGTAAAAATTTTTACTGATTCATATTTAGAGAGTATGGTCTTTTAGAAAATAGATTTTTAAAATAAAAAATAGGAAACAAAAATTTACTGACTGAATTTACGGATTTTTGATTGAATGATTAATTAAGATTGAAGAGAAAAAAAATTTGTCAATACTGTTGAAGTAGTAGAAGTGTAGAATAATTACGATTTTGAGAACAAAAATTAGATTTAGAAATCTGAATCGCTGATGGAATCATTTTAATTTGAAAATAAATGTATCAGACCTTAATCAACTTTCTTATTCATGAATATAGAGCATAATCATAATGAAGTTGATATTTTTCAAGGTGCGAAGAGTAAATCTTTTTAGTATTCTCTAAAAATACTCAACAGTTATTTTAAGCTAATGGCCTCTAAAGCTTAAAAAGTTTCGATGAAAGTTTTAAAAGCTCGAAAATTCGCTCAAAATTCCGTTAAATATAAACACAAGACTTTTAAATATATATACTTGAAAAGCTCCCGTGAATCCCATTATTGGTCAGGTAAATTTTTTTTTATAGAGTATAAATTTTAAAAGCTTATTTTGTATGTAAAGTATAAGAAAAAGTAGAGGAAGAAGAAAAAGAGAAAATCTTACATATATTTTTTTACAATACCTTCCCAGGAACATTTGTCCTGTACAAGGGATTCCGTTTCCAATATGCTGATATGATGATGCTACTTTACCATCGCATTTGAGTTCTCGAATTATTATTATTATAATATAGATATAGAAGGACACAATCCATGTTGTCGTTCAGCATCGCTCAAAATATACCATTTCGATTCTTGGGACCCTTTTTCCTTGTCGGCGTAGATTTTATGAGTCGTATTCGCCACCAAATGTTCCCCCATCGAACAATCTCCCCTTCTCGCAATGTCTAGAAACTTCTGCAGACAAAGAAAAAGGAACTTGATGTTGGTGCATTAGAATATAGTGTCACGGAAATGGAGAGTTGGACAAAGAGAATTCTAAATTAGACTTGATTCAATTGCGCCTGATACTCTTCCTTTTCTTTTTTTCTTTTGCTATTTCAATTTTTTAGTTTTTTGGAAAAAAATTTTGAAGTTATTTTTTTTGTTTTGAATTTTTAAATTATCATCTGTACAATTTTTCTAAAATTGAATTTGTAATTTATTAATTTCAATTAGGGACTGAATTTTTGCTTTTGAAATTTGAATTAGTAAATTTTACTAATAAATTGGTAGAAATTACTAATTATTAGTAGAATTTACTAATAGAAAATCAAAAAGTCAGTAATTAGTTAAAAATAGTAAACATTTTTACTAATTCAAATTTAGAAAGATAAGAATAATTTGATTATTTTAATAATTATTAAGAAATTAACTATAATAATTTGAATGTTCTTTCATTCATTCATTTTTTCTGTCCCTCACACTCTGAAGTTGTCTTTTGTTTATACTTTTGTTTTTTATTATCCTTAGATTGTATATTACATTATTATGTTACAATTATTTTTATCTCATAATTAATTCAACATTTTAATGACAAATAGAAATCATCATAATTTTTTTCACTTTTTTTCATTAAAACACTAAAATTTTGTTAAATATTATGGTTTGTCAAATTGAAATTATTTTTATTCTTTACTTCTAAACAAAATTAGAAAATTGTTAAACAACTGTGATTAAGAAATAGAAAATTGATTTATTTTGCATTATTTTTCTTTATGAATCACAATTTTTTTAACAAAATTAATATTTTGTTTTAGAAAAAGAAGAAAAATATTTGAACAATTTATATTTTTAATCTTATTTTTGGAACAGGATTTTCCACAGAAATTAAGACATTCAAAAATTTCGAATTCAAACCTTTTTTAAATTAAACAACTTATAAAAGTATTTGTTATAAAATATGAAGATATCGATTGCTCCGAGTCGAAGACTCGGAGTGATCGATTTCTTCATGTTTTATAATAATTAAAGATGACCGAGAGATAAAACCATTATTTTATAATATAAGAATATTGTTACTGTAATTTTATCAAAATTATTTTCATCATTTTAATTCAATTATTATTTTCTAGAATTTAAAATTATTTTTTATGAAAATAATTAAATTCCTTAAAAAAATTTTATTATTTATGAAAATAATTGAATTCGTGTGGAATTTTTATTATTTGTGAAAATAATTAAATGTTTGCATACAATTTTATTAAAAAATTTTTTTAATAATTGAATTCTTTTTGGAAAATTTTATTAAAACAGTAGATATTGAAAATCATTGAAATTAGAAAAATGCATTTTATATTTTGAAAATAATTGAAATTAGAAAAATGCATTTTATTTTTGAAAATAATTGAAATTTGGACAAGAATTTTTTTGACATTATGAAAATAATTGAACTTTAAAGAAAAATTCTGTTATTTATAAAGATAATTGGGATTTTTACGAGAATTTTTTTTCAAATTTTGAACATAGTTAAATTTAATAAGAAGAATTTAAATATTTTTTTGAAAATAATTGAATTTCTGCAATTATTTGTAATTTCCCTAAAATTGAATTTTTTTTTAGTGTTTTCAACAATTTCTAAATTTTTTTATTAAAATTGTCTTACAAATAATAAAATTGATATCTTGAGAAGAAATTTATTGAAATGTTTAATTTATATTCTTCGAAAGATAATTCAATTATTTTCGAAATTATTGATATAGGTAAAATTCTTTATAAAAATTCAATTTTTTTTCAATATAATCTTCTCAATGCAATTAATTTATTTTCAATAGTTTTAATAAATTATTTCAGCGTATGTTCAATTATTTTTATACGAAATAAAATTCTTAACAGGAAATTAAATTATTGTTGAAACAATTTTAATAAAATTTTTTGAGAGAATTCAACTCGAAAAATTCAATTATTCTTAAAAATGTGGTTAAAATTTTTCGAAAGAATTCAATTATTTAAAAATTTGTTGATAAAATTCTTTATGTGAATTTAATCTTATGAAATAATTAATTATTCAATAAATTATTTATTTTTGTATTTAAATAATTGAATTCTCCTTGAATTTTCGAATAAGAATTGATTTAAAAATTAATTTCACTTAAAATTTTAGATAATAATTAAATTTTAGAATTGTTGTGTAGAAATTTTTAGAGGTAATTAATTTTCAAAAGATTTTTAATTGCAAATGTATGAAAATTTTAGTTGTTTTAAAACTGTAATAATATTCGATTTTTTATTTTTAAAAATGATTAATTTATTATTTTTTTTAAAAATAATTTAAGTTTTGAATAATTTTATTTAAGATTTAAAAAACAGAAAGATTGAAATTTGGAAAAATTTCATTTGTAACTTCTAAAAGTAGTTTAATTTGAAAAAGATGTTTTACTTAAAAAATATTTAAAATATTTTAATTGAGTTATTTTTAAAATTTTAATACATTTTTAATAAAATTTCTCTAAAGAATTCAACTATTTTTCATATAATTTTAATTTATATTTATATCGATATCTTCAATTATTATTTATATACAAAATTTTTCGAAACAATTTAATTATTATCTTTCCACACAATTTTAATTTAAAAATGTATTGAGAAATAATTGATTTTGTTAACGAGAAATTTTTATTTAAATTACATGGAAAGTATTTGAATTCTAGTAAAAAATTTCATTACTTTAAAAATATTTGAATTCTTGTGAAGAAATTTATTAATATTTTAAATTAAATTCTTCGAAAGCAATTTCAATTATTTTCAAAAATTTTTGATAAAGTTCTCTATAAGAATTGAATTGTATTCAATAATACAATCTGAATTAAATTCCTCGAAAGAACTTAACTATTTTCACAAATTTTCAATAAAATTTAATTTATATTTTAAATGTTAAATTTAAAAAAGTTACAAATATTTTTATATTTTTTATACGAATGTAGATTGGTGAACGTATCATCAATTAATTGAATACTTTCGTTATTTATTTTAACGGAATACTATTGACCGTTTTTGTTGAGAGTACTTGTCTGACCGTGACGGCTGTTACTACTTCAGTAGCGTTCATTTCCAGATTGAAAAACATTTTTGATTTATCTACTTTTTACATTTAGTTAAATATACTAAATTTTTAAATCGTTAGATTCCAAATAACTTTAAATTTTCAAGTTCTGAGAGTAAAATATTGTGCCTGACCAAATGATTGATATTACTACTGTGAGAGTAGATTAAGTAAAATAAACCCATTTTGAATTGTTTTCTTTTCGTTCTATATTTCTAATTTATTTTTTTATTAATCACTGGTAAAAATGGGTCGTCATTGTTATCATTAGAGACTATAGAAAATTTTTTAAAGTTAGTTAATTTTAGCTTTTTCTTTTGTTCTATTTTGGAGAGAGTAACTTTTTTTGTCTGACTGTTACTGTCTGTTGCTACTGTTTCTAAAATTCCATGCTGTGAAAGACTGCACGTTGTCCTATTGTTTTTGTTTTCTACTTTGTAACATTTTCCACTAGCTCTCGCTCACTCTTCCTCTTTTATAAAAAAAAATGAAAAGAAAAAAAAATTCAAAGGAAAGTTCACAAACAATAATTTTGAAACTAGAAATAAAAATCTAGCCATTGTTTCACTTTTTAGACATGTTATACATTATACGCTTATACGAGAATTATTAAAAAAAAGAAAATGGGAAAAAAAATGTCAATGCTTTGTCACCCGAAAAATCTGGGATTATACAAAAAGCCTTTCATCTCTCTCTCACGAATATATGAAAAAAAAGTGGTGGAAAAAAAAATTTAATCCTTACTTTTTAACGAAGGACGGAAAATTGACGAATTTTGTAAAACAGGAAAACAGAGATTCTCTTAGAGAGAATTCTCTCACTTTTTTTTTGTCTTTTTCTCTTTATCTTCCTTTCTCTATCTTTCTCTACTGTATTTGAGGGATGAAGCGTTTAAAAAGCTGCGAGAGTGCTCTTTAACGTTTCAATTGCCAGCAGCCGGGGCGTGGTTTTTGGGGATATAAACTACGTACTCAAAACTCAGTAAACAAATATCTCGCCACGGAATATTATGTAACGTATATATATAGTCAAATTGTCAACTTTGCGTGAAATGAACATTTTTACTTTCACGTTTATGACTCGAGTATTCATGATAACATGTATTCTCGTGTTCTACAGAATATAAACGATAAATGGCATAGATATCGTGTGCACTGCGATAAAAAAGAAAATAAATTTCAAAAGACGCGGCATTTTTTTTTATAATGATTTATTTATTTCAAAATCAGGTAAAAGGAAACTTGGGAAATAAATTTATTTGATTCAAATAAATGATTACTTGTCTATTGTCAAATGAATATTTATGCTTGCATCAAAGAATTTTTGTTTAAATTTTTATTTAAGTATATTTTTATTTGGAATTTATTTAATTTTATATATTTGAAATTTATTTAATTTTATTAAAATTTTTATTTAATTTATTTTTTAGTTGAAGTAACATTTTTAGTATTTGAACCAATAATTTCAGTATTTAAACGCACTGTTTTTCAAAGAACATCAAATTGAGACAAAAAAAAGTATCAAAATTGTTGCGAGGCAACAATTTTGATACTTTTTTTTTGTCTCAATTTGATGTCCTTTGAAAAACAGTGCAAATAATTTCAGTATTTGCAAATTCAATTTAATTTTCGTATATTAAATTTAAATATTATTGAAATAAAATTTACTAGACACAAAAAAATATTAATAATAGCCAAATAATCGTTTGTTTGAGTCAAATAAATTTTTCTATACAGAAATTATTGATTCAAGTAAATTTTTTTTAGTGTATGAAAGTTTTTAAAAATTTTGTACACCACTTAGATATTTTTGGCTATAAATACATCTCTGTATTAATTGCTTTTCAAAGAATAATAATAATAAAAAAATAATAATA